TATATATATATATTAATTTCGCATGATGAAAATTATACATAAATGCAGAGAAAATAATATGAACATCTGGCAAGTCGATAAAATACATATAATTTCGAGTCAATGTTCAAGCGTGCACGTCCTCGAAGGATTGGTTCATTAACAGATTACATGGGCTTTGTAGAATATTTGAAATCTCATCTTGGACGTAGCAGCTTGTCGTATCACGAATGGTATGCAGGCCCTTTGCTCTTACACGCCTCTCGGCGGACACTTGAAGTCTGAAGCATAGTCGCTATACTGTGACAGACCGGCTGGCTACTCCAAAAGTGCGTCTATCGAGGGGTTGGTTCAACGAATACGTAATCTAAAGACGTGCGTTAGAGCGTGAAGAGGGATAGAAAGAAAGAGAGAGAGAGAGAGTATGCGTGCGTGTGTATGTATATAATACTCGCCTCTTTGATAACTACCAGGCGCTATTATCCAATTCGATTGTAATTTCATAGTAAAATGGTCGCGGATATTAAATCATAGGCAGGCGCAAATCGATACGGTGCCACATTACCGCCGTGTGCTGTAACATAATTACCATTTATTACCGCAATTTATACGACACGGACGGTATTACCACGAACCGCACGCTGCTCAACTAAAACTGAGAAACGCGATTTTATTTAAATTTATGCATGGAAAATCGCACTGTAATATTGTTATTTTATATTATGATCAATTCTAAAAAGATGCCATTCAGCAACTTTAATTATTAAGATTCATTACAAATATTCTATTTATAATATTAAATATTCTATTTTATAACTCTATTTGTTTTGCTATTGCGAAATCGATTATTGTAACATTGCTGTTGTTTTTATTATCTTTTCACAAATCTAATAAATAAATTCTTAACAATTCATAAATCAGAGATAATAATCAATCAGCTTTCAATATAAATTACAGAATGCATCAATAATTGAATAATGATTGATTCACTTTTGGCTTATCGTGTCACAAGTTTGGATTCGCTCCTGCCAAGATTAAAATGCGGTAGTGCACGATAGAGGATAATCCTGGATGATAAAAAAAATGTTATCGCGGTGAGACACGAAGACATGGTGACGCGGATGTCAAGCAAAAGGCTGATTACATGACCATATATCTGAATTAGGAGCGAGCCTCCATAACTCATTACGCTCACAATTCTCTTTCGTCAGGCGGTCGCACACGTTGCTCGCATAAATCACAATTTGCTCTACTGGTGGTCGCAGGTGGACAGGAATAGCGAGATGCAAAACTAAAAAGCTACGATTGCGTGCGACATGCGCGTGACGCGTGTAATCGATCTCGGCACGATCTTTAGCGCCGGTAATTACAACAATGGCGTTTTTTTCCTCTTTTTGCTTAATCGATGCAATAATTCTTTCTGACGCTAACCATAAGCGGGTTAAATGTCAGATCAATCATTTTAAGGATATGAAGATATATTGTCATTTATTGTTACATTGTAGAATTCAAAATATATATATATTATTATGTATCCTTGTCTAATTTGAATGTATACAAGATTTATCGGAAAATATACGCTTTCGCATAGCATTCTCTATTAAAATTGGAGGTGATTTTTCTTTAATGAAAATTTAATCGCGCGTCATCTCTTTTCAATTTTTTTTTTAAATTCTACTTGAACGTTACTTCGCGTTTTAGCACATTTTCAATTTTTGACAAATAAATGTCAACATAAATGATTATTCTCAATAGCGATGATGGAATAATATATCTCCCGGTAGTATTTCTAGAAGTAGTAAAAAATAAAAAAAAAATAAAAACACGGATAAAGAAAGAGATGTCACGAAAACGTGAAAGTAACACCTCTCATATTTCCATTAAGTAAGGCAAGATATGTCGAATGACGAATATAACGCGCTAGCTACTGCTTTTACCATGATTAGTGCGCGATAAGATGGAAAGCTATGTGCACACATGTATATAAACATATGTACACGTATATCAGAAACGTCGAGATACATCAGCGTCCGATGCATTGACTCATTTGTGCAACATAAGTTATGCGATATGAGTGCCGATGTCTAGCACGTTCATATATATTAGGTTTTTCTCTCGGAAAATCTGCGAATTGTCTCATGTGTCGTAACATTAATTGCGCCGATGCATAATCTCCTTTTATATTGCTACTGTTTTTTATTCGTACGATACATTTTTTAATTGATCAAAGCACGACGTTGAGATAAAAGCTTAATCATTTCGGACATCGAAATATCGCGATTGATACAGATTAGAATTCCTTTTTGTATCAAAATTATATGAAAAACTAGAAGTTTCACATTGCAAATCCTTAGATAATGATCTTTGATTTCGGAAAATTGTAATTCTATAAATATCTCAAAACATAATAACTGAAACAGTAATAACAAATATAATAATAAATAAGAAATATTACATTACAAAGTTTTTTAAGTATCTTTTATTTCATTTTCTTTCTCTCTCGTTTTCTTTCTCTATATAATATTCAATTAATAAATAACATAAAAATATTTATGAAATCAAATGTAAAATAAGAAAAAATATAAACAATTACAATATTAATTAATAAAAGGTTGCTCGTTTACTTATTTTCCAATCTGACTATTGATGATAAGTTTTCATAATTTTTAAATAATTTTTTATATTATTCATTATTATTATATCTTTCCACGAATAGAATGTTAATTTTTACACGTCGCGTCGTCGAGTAAAGATTAAGAATTCGCTCATTACCAACAACGCGGATAGGTATATGTATCTCCAGACAAAGTTTCGTATAACTTCTCGCGCGCGTAGAGATATCTATGCATCGTATAATACGAGTCATATTGTACGGTTTGTCGCAGCAAGACATGTTGGGTATACGTAAATGAGAGCTCTTCTGCATTTACTTCTATTCCGCGAGCTCATTACCAAGTCTCGTGTTAAGATGAGCGTATTTAGCATCCATTAACGATCGATGAAAATGAGCTTTCCTTTTTTCTCATGTTTTTTATATTATTCATTATTATTATATCTTTCCACGAATAGAATGTTAATTTTTACACGTCGCGTCGTCGAGTAAAGATTAAGAATTCGCTCATTACCAACAACGCGGATAGGTATATGTATCTCCAGACAAAGTTTCGTATAACTTCTCGCGCGCGTAGAGATATCTATGCATCGTATAATACGAGTCATATTGTACGGTTTGTCGCAGCAAGACATGTTGGGTATACGTAAATAAGAGCTCTTCTGCATTTACTTCTATTCCGCGAGCTCATTACCAAGTCTCGTGTTAAGATGAGCGTATTTAGCATCCATTAACGATCGATGAAAATGAGCTTTCCTTTTTTCTCATGTTTTTTTTTTCTGTTACGGATCATGAACGCACCCATTCATTACGCGTCTTATTATACATAATTGACAAGTCGCAGCGAGCCGAGATAGCTGCTTCATTCCAGAT